TTATATTTTATTAATTACCATGTGGCAAAATAAAATAGATTTAATTCTAAGTGCTTTTCTTATTAAACCTCCAACTAGGAATTTGTGTAGGAAGAAAGGGAGGGCAAATCCTTTATATAATCAATGTAAGCAAAACATGTTCATTATTATCTTTTTAATTCATATAATTTTTTATTCCTAATTTCCTGTACAATTGACTGCAATTCCACACGCTATTTTAATGAAGAATCAGCATCCATATACATACTTAAATTTTGGTGCCAGAATTATCTGGATGACTTCACTTCTTCTCTTCCCCATTATCTAAAGCAGCATTTACCCACTGCACCCCACCCTTTTTTCTCATCATAGTTATGTGTACACATGATGGACTCATGAAAAATATCATTACTAGTGATGGTTGCAGGAATTAAAAATCAAATCTTCAATTTTAAATCTACTTTTTGAAGCATTTAAAAGGTAACCTTTGCAGCCTAATAATAAAATAGAACCAATTAAAGTATTGGTATAGGAAAATAAAAGGCCATGTGATATGCAAACAATACAAACTATTGATGCCATTAATGAAGACACTTTTATAAAATCCATAGCAGACTAGCTTTTTTAATGCTTGAATATTTACATTCTAAAGTATTTTTTAAATAGTGATAAATTAATGCATTCAGATTGTGGTATCAGTGAACCAGAAAATAGGATGGTACTTCCAATTCATTTTGTGCATTATTGTGTGTATGATTAAAGCTTTTGAAACAAAATTAAAGTGCTTAATAAGCAAAGATTCATTTTTGTAGTTTATAGATAAATGACCAGGTACTTACTTTTTATTTACAATTTAACTGAAAATTTGTTCATTCATAATAAAAAAGATGGGTCATAGTAAATTATGTATATATCTGTATTTTTAAACTATTTTCTGTTTTGAAATGTTATTGATCCTAGCAATAACACAAGACATTATCTTCAAGTTCATTTCAGTTTTAAATAAATTTGTGTCTATGAAGGAGCAGAGAGTAAGAGAAGGAGACAGAAAAAGAGAGAGGGTGGGGAGGAAATATTTTAAGGGAGGCATGGGAAAAGGGAAAACAGTAAGGTAGGAAGGAAGGAAACTAGTTGAAAATATCCATCTTTACATGTTACTTTCTTTCCCCCAAAGCCAATGTTAAAACCAGCTCAAGAAGAATTTGTAGACACAGTAGAGAATATGTCTATTCATTTTAGTTTCATAGAAACCTGTGTGTTCCTACTTAAAAATCTCAGTCTACAATCTATTTGGAACGGCCTGCAGTAAACCTTATCTTATATTAATCTGACTGTGGCTTCTATTTTTCTGCCAAGCCTTTTGCAGTTAACAACACTTTCAAGATGTGTAAGGTGATAAGCCTTTATTGGGCAGGTCTGTCTGTTGATAGTACCTAGTCGATCACAGAAGAGATCCATCAGAAGTCTGTGGTTCACAAGTCCTCTGTTAAGTATTCTAAGGTTTTATTCACTGGATCTTTTTGGCTAGAAATCTTTGCAACTGCAGTGATTAAACAACTCAAATGATGAGTCTTGCACCGGTTCCTTTTCCTCCTCCATTGCACACATCCCAGTTCAGGCACTCGATATACAGAAATACTGAAAAACCTGGTGCAAATGTTCTCTTTGTCTTCACCCCCACACATTACCCTGCTCTCCCCTGCCAGAGCAGGCCGGATCTCTTCTTTTCTCACAGAAATCCAGTGCTTGCTGGCTATTACCCAAATTTCTAACGTTCAAGTTCTTCTCACCCCTCTTCCCATCTTCCCCTTCAGTAGTCTCTTACTCCAATTCTCCATTCAAAACATGCAGATTTACTTGATGGAACTTCAAATGTGCTCATTATGATCTCAGTGCTGTCACAGAGCTCAGCATCCCCTTGTCTGAAATGTCCCTCTCTATCACCTCTTTTCTACCTGCCCCTTTGCCTACTCAAATGCCAATAAGGCCAATATTTAATGTTAGCTTTTTCACAAACCTGTACTTGATTGGTCCAAAGGATGAGCAACCATCAGCCTAGCTGGTGTGGCTCAGTCAGTTAAGCATCGTCCCATGCACCAGGAGGTCATAGTGCAATTCCTGGTCAGGGCAATGCTCGGGTTGGGGCTCAACCCCCAGTAGAGGGCATGGAGGAGGCAGCCAATCAATGTTTCTCTCTCATTGATGTTTCTAACTCACCCTCTCCCTTCCTCTCTCTGAAATCAATAAAAGAATGAGTAACCTCCTGCTCCTTCAGCACTGAAAGTCGGCCTTCTCTTATCGATTAGTCATGGGCCCCTTCTCTTCTTAGATTCTAAGCTCCTGAACAGAAACCATAATTTATTCTTCTCTGCATACATTGATGTGTCATATACTGTGCCTCTCACATAGTAGCAGCTCAATCAATATTGATTGAATGAATAATTATTAAAGTGCAAGAGATTCTGGTTTCATTCTGAAGAAACCCAGCTCAATGTCTTAAGTATCTTGCCTATGCCTCTATAAAGAGGGCATGGATTTATACAGGCAACTTCCATGCTACCACATTTTAAATAGAGAAAGAAGAGTTTCTTTACATTAGTTATTTTCCTTAGCGAAGTGAGAGATGATTCAAGACACCATATTTTTTACTTATTTTGAGAATCTTTTCAAAGGAAAATGAGACTTAGAGCAATAAAGATAATATAGCCATCTGTCTGTTTTTTTCCTACCAACTCAGTTAAGGAAAATCTTACGTTAATAGTATATTGGCTGAATCCCCTTCATGAGTTTTGAAAATAAAACAACTTGAGAAATTGAAATTGAGCTAAAAAAGACAGTCTTTGTGTAAATTTTATTTATACATAGTCTTCCCCCCCCACCACCACCACAAAATTTAATAGTTTTAGAACTGAAGCCTTTAGTTTTCTCCTAAAACTAGCTCTTCTGCTTGAGTTTGCAATTTTTTGTTCATAGAATCATTTCTCTCCCTTGGTTTGAATCCACAGAATCACCAAAACTCTCAATATTTGTCACACAATCACTGCAATGTTTTTTCAATTATATGTACTAACTCTGTTATTATTTTATACTTTAAGGCAGCGATTTTCAACTGATGTGCCACAAGAATTTTTAAAACATGCAATACCTGTCTATTTAGTCAGGGGCACTGATCTCTTTTCCCTTAAGTTGTCAAATGATAATAAAAAAAAGACAACAGTCAACACAGCAATAGCCTTCTGGTGTGAATGAATCAAAATATCAAAATTATACCTTTTTTTTGGTCAGATTGGCAAAATATCTAATATTTTTTTGGTGTGCTGTAGAATTTTAGTAATTATGTGTGCCATAAGATGAAAAATGTTGAAAATCGCTGCTTTAAGGCACTACACAAATGTCTATGTTTACCTAAAGTTGATTACTTACCTAATTAAGGACTAATGACTCAAATAGACCCTTGAGACATTATGTAAAACTGTCCCAACCAACCTTTTTTCATCTTAATATGCTACACTTCTTGTAAACATACCCCCAGTTTCACTCACACTCAATTATTTACAAAAAAAATTATACCGTATCTATTTCCTCTTCTGAATATTTACTCGAGATAATCTTCTTGGGAATCCACTATTTCCCTGCACGACCATAGCAACTGCGATAGCCTTCAAGATATACCTTAAACAATATTTTTTTATTAAGTCTTAAAGAATTCTCACAGATATTTGAGCTTTATCCTGAAAACCTTTATTTCATCATGTGTATTTTCTAAGGAACTCCCCATAGTCAGCTTCCCCTTATCTAATAGTCCACTAGGCTGTACATTCCTAAGGCAGAGTAGCTATATTTACCATTGCTCAGAGTAGATGCTCAAAAACTTTTATTTAATCATCAATATTTCTGATTACCTATCTTTTTCAGAACCCTACCTATCTCCTAAGCGTTATATTAAAATATGGGAAGAGTAAGCAACATGGGTCACATCCAAAAGAGCGATGATGAAACGCTGTGACGGAGAAGGACTCTGACCTGTGGTGCTTTAGGCCCAGGTGCTCTACAGTCTTAGCCTCACGTCTCCTGATTTCTTTTTACTGCTTCTTGGCTTATGCTCCCATTATGTTTTTCTCTCAGTCTTCTACTTTCTCTTCGTCTCCGTGTTAGGCCTGCAGGGATATTCTTTGGCATTTTGCTTATCTCTGCCAGTAACACTCAAAGATTAAAATATGTCTGACTTCTGTGTCATACTATAAAGAATGATAATTGCCTTTCTAGGGCATTGCTAATCTTTAAACTAATCTCCAAAGTTTGTGGGAAAAAAATAAAAATAAAAGAATTCAAACTGAATGTCAGTGTTTGTTTTTAAAGCTCTCCAGTGAGCTGCCAGTCGCCCTGGCCGAGTGCTCAATTGGTTGGGCTGTTCAATTCCCTGTCAGGGCACATACCTAGGTTGTGCATTTGATCCCTGGTCAGGGAGGCAACCGATCTATGTTTCTCTCTCACATCGATATTTCTCTCTTTCTGTCTCCCCCTTCCTCTCCCTCTAAAATCAATAAAAATATTCAGCGAGGATTAAACACACACACACACACACACACACACACACACACAACCTCTCAACACAGGTGACATTAAAGGAAAGAAACAAATAGTTAGAGCTAATATACATGTCAGCTATATACATTAAAAGAAAAAAAAAACACCTCAACAGTTTCTTTAAGCACCTTTTCTTTCTACTTTAGTCCTGTTAGTGCAGTCTCACCATACTATCAAAAACAAATTAAAGCTCAGGTGGAAAGCAAAGGTGATGAATCTAAGTTGAAAGTTATTATAACAACTTTTTTTCTTGCTGAAAAGTTTTTCCAATAACTATACTAGTCTTTCTTAGATTTTATTTATACCCATGACTTCGTGATAGAAGACAATGGTTTTCCCAATAAATGTCCCTCTTGAAATATGGAGTGAATTAAAAATAATAACGGTAGTAAAACTGTAGATTATTTAGGGTGAATGGGTAGAAAACCACTTACCCCCCGTTGCCACAGTGATTTCACGTAGAAAATGGCCATAAAATGGAAAATCGAAAGACAGATTCACTCTCTGCAAGGAACAACACCAGAAAAGAAAATCAATAATGCACATAATAGTAAATGCAATATGAAAAGCCTTCCACTTAAAAAATTGATGTTTCTGCTTTACACCGCTATTATTGTAGTTGACTTTCAAAACCAGAATTCCAGATGATAAAAAAGGACTTTTTTTCCTGGTAATTACATGTTTGAAATGTGTGAAAAGAATAAAGTTGGGCTGTTACAGTCTGTTTGTCTGTTCGTTGCTTACAAAAGGAACCTCAAAGTTTCAACTCCAAATCAAGCTATTCTCTCCAACATCCCCAGTGCCTTTCCCATGGCCACTGCAAATCAGTTCAGGCATCATGATGAACACTTTATTCTGGGGTCATCTCCAAAAGAGTCCTCCTTATCTGTCAAGTTATATTGAAAAAAAATCAAAAGATTTTCATGTACATAATTATGTATTCAATTTGTTTTCTGTTCATCTCGCAATGCATGGCAGTCTCATGGAACAAGATATCTGCACCTATAGACCGAGACCTGCAGACATTTTTATTTTTTAGATATAATGAACTCTCCAGGTTCAGCATATTATGTCTATTTTTAAAAGCAAAGAATAAAAAATGCTGGTTATTTGGAAAAGTACTTTTTCTTTGTATAGAGAAAATTTGGGGAGACTTAGGAAGAAGGTTTATATATTTTGCCCCTCTGTTTTCTAAAAAGGGGCCTGAAGCTTGAGTTATACATACATACAAACATATATACATATATACTTTGATATTACATATGTTACTTATATATTACATACTTTATATATTATAAATACATATAATATATCATATACAAAAACAAAATACAACACAGCAAAACAAAGAAACAAAAAACCCTATATTATTTGAATGCTTGAAATAATATGAACTAGATGTATTATTAGAAAAACACACACAAGAAAAACAGTAAATTAGAACAAAAATTATCCACTGTTATAAAAAATCCAGAGGGAAATTAATTATTGGTTTAGAGCCTAATAGCATTAAAAACTATCTATAGCAAAAGGCTATTGTGTTAAAATTCAACAGTTTCTATATTATCTCTCCCAATGCACAAATTAAAAAAAAAAATAGAGAAGTATATCTAGATTTAATTTAGCTCTTTCCAAGTTTGCAAATGATTGCTTTTTTATATCCATCAGAGATTTTTAATAACTTATTTGGCATGAAATTAATCATTCAAAATTTACAGTGACTTTCAATTAGGTTTTCTTTCCTTTTTAATGAAAGCTGCATCTTCAGAACAGGTTTATCATCATTTTTATTTTTTGCTGACTAACATAACAAGAAAATTCATTTTCACTGCAATAACTGAAATGAGTGGTTACTAATAACTCTAAAATAAAAGCTTCAATTGCAAAATCATATATCTCAAAGAAGATGTCAGCAATAACTTCATAAAGGCACTTGCTACAGCATCTTGTTTTCCATTCATTCTAATGTATTTCAATGATCACGAGCTATTAGTAACATTACAGCCCTTTGTCCTTCTCACTTTCATAACAAGACTGTGGTTTAAACATATAATCAGTAATAATCTCTACCAATTACTACCAAAGATGAACCAGAGAAATGTGGCATGAGTTTCTCTACCACCACAAATATTTCAATACTTTTAGAACAAGGTTGAGATATACAAATCCATAAGGTAAAGACTTAAAAAAAAGCAAATAAGTTCTCAAAGAAAATTTGAAGAGCAACATCAATGACTGAAATGCTCCCCTGTTTAATGGTCAGTTCACCTTAGTTATCACCATGACTGCTTCACACTGATAAGAAATAGCAATGACAATTTAGAAAGATGCTAGCTTCTCAACAGTTGTGAAATCTGCCCATTTCTCTCCAGATACTACTGACTCCTTCCCCAAGTGCTGGTCACTATTATTGTAGTAACTTCATCACAGGTATCTTGACTAATTCTCCCACAATTCATTCTCCATAATATATAGTATATCACTCCCTTACTTCATATCTTTCAGCCTGGAATCCCACTGTCTCTGCAATACTGCCAAAGTAGTGACAATGGTTCTAAAGCCCACCACTAATTGGGCCCTGCTACCTCACAATTTTCCCTTCATTGCTCCAGCCAGGCATCTAGAACATCTTTTAGTTCCTTGATATTTCCACCCTTAACTCTTGGCTCTGGTACTTTTACATGATGTCTCTTCTGACTATTATAATCTCTCAGTCAATCATGGCTTCCATATTCTTTAAGCTTTGGTTAGCCCAAATACCAACCCTGACAAAAGGACTTAGGGGCAGATCATTTTTTGGAAGCATTTTCTAAAGAAAGTGGGAAACATGAGCTAAGAGAAACCAGTAATGGTACATTATTGGGTGGGCTACTACTATAGCCAGGTCTCCCTTTGGAGACTCTAAAAGACAGTAGGGAAAACATGCCTTAGAATCATTTCATTGGAGGTTAGGATTGGGACACTGTCCATCATCACCCATTCCCTATCGATTGAAGGTTGCTCCTGGGGGTGTTTAAACTCCCCATCTTCCCCAGGCTATGCTTATTTGTACTCTCAGCCAGAAGAAGAGATATAGCACTTGAGCTGGAAAGTTACTGGTAGGTTAGAAACTGTACCCACAGTTTTAGGTGCACTCAGCAGTCAGAGGGATATGGGGCAAAGCATCAAAGGGGACAGCTAAGTGTCACATCCTCAGAGAGTCATACCTTCATTTCTTGGCTCATGTTATATCTTTCTACTATATCTCATCTAGCATTTTCTACATATACATGGATGCATAAAGCAACTGCATAAGGTTCATACTGTAACTGCTTTGAGGTAAAACTTACTCAGCAAGGGGTAGTTAAGCATGGCCCAAGTAGGAAAATTGAATCTAAATCCAGGTTTGATTGACAATGAAGGAAATGTGCTTAATTACTTAGATATTTAAAACAAAGCGATAAAAAAGTCATACTTAAAGACAAATTTTTGAAAATTATTATCCCTCTTTAAAACACACATACACACCCATATATACACAAACAAAAACAAACAACAACAACAAAACACTAAAACATAAACAAAACGACCACTAGAATTCCATGAAGTACTTTGAAGCGAAATGATGATATATTTAACCTGATTACCTTTGGATAATTGGATAATTAGTCTGTCTGTGTATGGCATATAAAACAGGCATTGAGAGCTGAAGGAAGTGTTATTCATTCAATCATGCAGTCAACAATCAATTATTCAACACCTTATATATACCAGGCACTAAGTCAGGGACTAAAGAATAAACAGCAAATAAGTCCCACCCAGTTCCTTCCTTCAAGGAGTTCACCAAGGGATAAGGGGATCACAGAAGGATAAAGGATAGGAGCAGGCAGAGTAAGGACGAGGAGAGACACCTAACCCAGAGGAGAGGCACTGAGGCTGACTCTTTAAAAGGAACTACAGCTAGATGAGACCCAAAGGTATGAATCAGACTACAGGGTGTCCCAAAAACATGTATACGCACTTTAAAGCTAATAGCTCAATTTTGAAAATGAAATGCATCTTAATAAACACTGCCTTTATAATTATTCAAAGTCTGTGTATTCATTTTTTGGGACACCCTACATATGTAGAAAATAAAATTGGAAGGACGCCATGATTAATTAGACATAACAGTTGGGAGTGAGAGAAGACACTAGACTAAAGGACAGGTTTCTAGCTGAGTGACTGGTGGATCACAGTGACACCAACTGAGATGGTGAATACAGGAAAAAGAGTTAATTTGGTTAAGTGTGAGAAAGCCTGCTGTGTCATTAATTAGTGAGGGTTCCATTAACTGTAACCAGAAAGACTAGCAGAATCCTGGACACTGTCACAAAAAAAAGCCATTATCAACAAAAAGAAACATAATATTGAGATTATTGTATCACTAGAGGCCTGGTGAACAAAATTCGTGCACTGTGTGTGGGGGTAGTCCTCTCAGCCCAGCCTGCACCCTCTCCAATCTGGGACCCCTCGGGGGATGTCCGACTGCCGGTTTAGGCCCGGCAGTCGGACATCCCTCTCACAGTCCGGGACCACTGGATCCTAACTGCTCACTTGCCTGCCTGCCTGATCGCTCCTAACTTCCCCCCCTGCTGGACTGGTCACCTCCAACTGCCCCCCTGCCGGCCTGGTTAGCCCCAACTGCCTCCCTGACAGCCTGGCCACCTCTTACTGCCCCCTCTGCTAGCCTGGTTGCCACTCACTGCCCCCTCTGCTGGCCTGGTTGCCCCTCACTGCACCCCCCTGCCAGCCTGGTCACCCCCACGCAGCCTGCTGCTCAGTCATTTGGTCATCCCTCACTAACCCCCCTGTCGGCCTGGTTGCCCCACGCAGCCTGCTGCTCAGTCATTTGGTCATCCCTCACTAACCCCCCTGCCGGCCTGGTTGCCCCACGCAGCCTGCTGCTCAGTCATTTGGTCATCCCTCACTAACCCCCCTGCCAGCCCGGTCACCCCATGCAACCTGCTGCTTAGTTGTTTGGTCCGCCCTCACTAAGCCCCCTGCTGGCCTGGTCGCCCCACGCAGCCTGTTCGGTTGTCTGTTCAGTTGTTTCGGTTGCGACGGTTGCTTAGGCTTTTATACATGTAGAATAATATACTCTGAACATTATCCTATCTTGGATATCATCCCTTAAGAAATGCCTAATGTAAAAGAGAAAATGATTTAGGAAAGTTGTCATGTAAAGACACAATCAATTAATTAATAATCTGGGAAAAATACCAAATAAAAATTCAGAAGTGAAACTTTCAAGAGCATGAGTGACATACATGCAATCAACTGAATTTACTGCTTCCTTACACTGTGTGGAAAGGAGTTACTATTTGAAAGATGAGGTATAATACTTTTTAGACAAGCAAATAAAGCATCCCTTCTTCATGTAGGGAAGGATAAATTTATGAAATTTCCTTTGAAGAGTTTGATGAAGTATATTCATAGATTCCAGGTGATTTGGTATAAATGTATGGCAGGTATAGCCAATAAAT